TTCCTTTATTTATCCCGACTTTTCATAAATCTAGAACCATTTTGATAATACATTAAAATATATCAATTCTAGCATGTACACCATTTCAATCACTTATCTGTATACACATAATTTTGCTATATAAGTAAAATATATGTCATTTTAATCTTAATTATAAATTCCTATTATGCATCGTCATTTGATCTACCTCATAAAAACCGATCATTACTAAAATATACTTTCATTCCCTGGTAAATTATAATCACTAAACTGTAATTAATCTCAGAGGATAAAGATTATATTAATTTAGGTATTTTAATTATAATTACCAAGCTGTGTCAATGAAGTACGATGTTCATGTTTATTTACGGCTTACTAATTGAGCAAGATCCTAATAAACTCAGCATATATAATAAATTATATATAATATATATATAATATATATATATATATATATATATATATATATATATATATTTCTCTGTGACTGCAACCTATTAATAACTTCTCAAAATTATTATCTGTAATGAACTTTTTCTCTACCATTGCTTATTATATGATAAATATGTTATGTGTTAAATAAATATGTTAATTTATGTGTTATATGTCAAATTAATATATGAAGTACGCTCAAAGTCGTTTAATAAAGCTGGGACCACAGTAGTTCGGCACAGACTATTTCGGGATCTTCATTTGTCATCCCTGTCGTTTATTCAGGCAGATGCAGTTAGTGAAGAAACTATTTTTAGAAAGAGACCAAAGACAAATCGCTTATTGCCTCTAAGGAGAAGATCTTTGAGGCAAACGAAGCAGTTTCAGACGATAAGAGAAGAGAAAAAATTAAAAAAAAAAAAGTTTCGCTATAAGCCGTACGTTACTGAAATCACTTATTTAAGGTAGGTAAAGGCATGGGATATTACAGCAACTTTTTCGTCAAAATCCACAAACCGGATGTGGCACTTCATATAATCGATTTGACACATTTTTGGAATTTTCTCAACTAACGAACTAACGAATTTTATTAACCTGCTTATATAAATGTAAAATCGAGGTACGTATTTAACATATCTTTTCTATCGTTTTATATTCATCAAAAAATGTAACTTACTTCAAAAACACAAAATTAAACCTTTTTCTGCAGAAATTTGCTACTTTCACTTTCATACGACTTTTCATTTTTGAGTGTTCAGATATATACACACAGGCCTCATACATATTTGAACTCAAGAGACCTCAGAGCATGTATTTCCGTTGAAAATTCAGATTTGAAAATTTTCACGAACGCAATACTTACCTTACTATATCTAATATTATATAATAATATATCTAATATTGCATATATAGATAAGTGAAAGTAAAAATTATATATATATATATATATATATATATATATAGGATATCAAATCACCTCATTTTTTTACACAACTTAAGGCGAATCTTAACTTATTTCTCAATAAATTTTAACTTAACTAATATGGACTCAAAGCTTATAAAAAAGGAATGTTTTTATAAAAGTGGAGTGAATAATTCATGACTTTTTTAAAAACATACCTTAGTTTATCCACTCATAAATCCTCTTTAAATGGTTTTAGCAATAACAAACTCTACTTTCGTTTAAAATACATTTTTTCTGGTTTACTGCAAAGCAATTATTAATTATTTAAATTAAATATTATTTTAGTTATCGCAATTCATCAAAAAACGTGACACTTAAAAAGACACAAAACTTTCTAATTTTCTGAGAAAAATCAGACCACTGAAAAATCTTACGGAACGGAAAGCCCTGTATATGAAAATACCAATTTATACACCGAGTAAGGTGGTAAGTGAAAGTTGTGTGATGTGCGCAAAGCACCAGATTTTTTTATAGTAGGCCACATTTTTTTTTTACTATGCTTCAATCCCACCAGAAAAAAAAATGAAAGGGGGACAACTAAAATATGCACCTGCTATCTTACAAGGATTTTTTCTGTTAAATTTTTAAAATATCAAGAAGTGTAATTTCAAATATAGTTTTTTTTTTTAATAATAAAACAGCGTTATTTTTTTCGTGACATTTCTAAAAAAAACAAAATCATTAAAAAAAACAAGAGGCAATGATAAAAAAAAAGATGGGTTTGAGCCTGAGAAGGGCCGGGTAAAAACAATGATTGACGATTAGGAAGTTGGCCTGGGAGTCATGAAGTGGGCAAGTTGGCACCCTAATGAGCCCCCGTCAACAAAGGACATTGTGCCTAATCCACGGCCCAAGTTCGAGACCCGCTCGCACGGAGAATATCTCCTGTCATCGGGAAACTGGCTTACTAGAAATTATTTCACTTCGTCATTGCCTTAATACGATGACAGTACCATCTCGTCACTCTTCCATTAGAACAAATATAATCCGTTGTTTTTAATTTATTACTATAATATTCGTCATAGGAATCAGACCAACATAATATTGACTAAATCACACTATTTTTTTTTTTTTTTTGTTACTACAATTAATTTTTTCAAGTACCAACTTAAAACCTTAAATGAATAAACGCGAATACGTTTGGACAAGCCACGTAGCGGAAACTTTCAGTGGGTTTTATTACGACGAATTTAAGCCAATAAGTAAGCTTCAAATATAAGTAAGCCAATAAATAAAGTAATTACAAGTAAATTACAAGCAAATTTGTTAGTTTTTAATCATCATTTTAAATTAGTATCATTTTACGTTTCGGGGCTACAATTTTCTGTAATTCTATGAATTTCTAAAAATATAGTTTCATAATAATTGAAGGAAAATATAAGATAGTAGTAATAAGCAGAACGATGATGCATTTAAGAATTTAAAGGAAGGAGATGGCCGGGGTGGCGGTCATAAATAGGCTAAATAGTGGAAAAACTATTTTATCAAAAGCCAACGTTTCGAACCGACTTTGCAGGTCTTCTTCAGGGCTAGAAAATAAAATAAAATTATTTTGTTTTTGTTAGTTTGGTTTTGTACTCAGTAGGTGAAGTTTCGTTTTTGAGTAATTTGGCTAGGTTTAGGATTGTTTTTGGTGGACTGTTTGTCCATGGAGAGTTATTAGTTTCTTAGTTGATCAAAGGTATTCCTTTGAGGAACGTTAGAGCTGAATTAAGTATCTCTGATAGAGGAGGTGTTGAGTTTGTTTTAGTTGCAAAAGCTATGGAAAAATATTGTTTGAAAATATATTTGTGTGTAGGATGTCCGATTTGGGGAAACGTCTGGAAATGTAATTGACTGCCAGTTTTTTTTTTTCCTTCAAAATAAAAGTGCGTAATAAAATGTAATAAGGGGTACTCCTGCTTTGGAACACAAATTAAGAACGGGGCTGGTTCGAATAAAATTAATTTAAACATAATTGCTTGGAAGTAGCAGATCGACGGGGGGGGGAGAGGAGGGGTTGTTAGGGATGGAATGTTTTTGTTGAAAAAATGCCCCTTCATGGTCGAAATGGGGAAAACTGAAAAAAGTAAGAACATATAGATTTTGGGGATGTTCAAAAGTGATCGAAGATCGAACAGTTTACTACATCTCAATCACATCCTAAACAAGAAAAAAACAAAAACATTCTACCACCACTTGATGCAACTTAGAACCCCCTTTCTCCATGACAATGTTAGTACAGCAAAAATATTATTTTAGCAGTCTTATTTTTCATATATTATATTTTTGTTTCAAGTTTCCAAGTTCCTTCGAATACACTCGTTATCAGGGAGACTATGTTTAATAATACAATTAAATAATTAAAGCTCCAATGTCCAGGATTGTCAAACAGCCCTAACAATAAAACACATAATCGATCACTGCCCTAACTATAGCAGAAAAACTTATGCATTTCTGAACAAAGGGATCAAGTTTTTAAAAAACATTGAAAAAATGTATGAAGTTGACAGAAAATCAATCAGATAACCATCGAAGCTTTTCGCCTTGTAAAATAAAATAAATAAAAAATACAAGCTTTAAATAATTTTATTATTTATTGCTTTCCATATAATTATTAAATTAGACAACGCATCTTAAACAGATGAACAAATATCGTCTGAACATCTCACACCATAAAGTTTAATTCACCGAAAGCATCAGTAAGATAAATGGTGAACTTGAAATATATAAACACGCATGTATATTCAGAAGTTTTTTAGACCTTGAATATTTTCCATAAAAAAAAATTCAAATAAAAGTTAACCAATAAAAAAAAATCCAAAATACTTCAAAAAATATTTGAAATATTGATTCTATATTTTCAAATTTCTTAATTAATTATTGTTTTGTCCTGAGTGTATGTGGCTATAGCTTTCTCACTCAGCCTCCAATGACTTTCAAACAGCGATGCGATTGGGAGAGAAGCTCTGGGATCTCTTTGAGCCCTTGTTTTGCCTCACACATGAGAGTGGCAAAGCATGGTTAAGGGTTCCCCAGGCTGAATGTAAATATTATATATAGGAATGAGTGTGACAAATAATTTTTTTTCTTTTTATTATATTTTTAATGTATTTTTTTCTTTTTACAAGTAAGTTATATTTTTGTTATTATTTTATTGTATATATTTTTTACTTAGATGTTTTCTTCTTATTTCTTTTTTCTCAATTTGTATATAATAGTATGAATGTACACGGAGAGCCTTAATGCCCTATAGTCTTGATTGTGACAGATTGTATTATTATTATTCCAATAAAAAAAGGTTTTGCTAAAAAAAAAAATATATTGTTTCAATCTAAGGTCAGAGCTAAATTTAAAATAATAAATATAATAATACAAATACACGAATAATAAGAGAGATACAGGTTCTTGTAGGCCAGTAGCGCAAAAAATAAATAAATACACACATGATTAAATACTATTTATATATTAATAAGAGTCTAATATAAAATATGAAATTATATACATTCATCAATGCATTACATAACATGTTTTGTTATGTCATGAAAACGAGAATACAAATGGAAATACTGTACTATAGGGCCAGGGGCTAGAACTCGGTAAAAGATAAGCGAGATCTTTCAACACTTTTTTATTTGAAATACTTTTACCAGTGGGACAAGCGGTCAGTAACGTATTTTTTTTTTTACCCTTTTACAGTTTTGTGATAGCGAAGTACAGTTGAAAAGTTTTTTTTGGTAGATTTTTTTTTTTCAGAATCCTGACGTAACGACTGAACTTAGAACAGTTCACTAAAACTAAAAACGGAGGCAATAATAATTGTACTGAGTAAATACTGACATTAAATAACGAAAAGTAAAATCTTTGCCTAATTATCAGGTTAGTTCCATTGCTATAACCATAAGAATAAATAAGTGTTCTATATTTAATATTTATAAAAGTATTCATATTTCATTCTTTATTTACCGATGTAAGGGCTTGAAATGAAATTTTGATTTTTATCGCTTATCAGTTACGGTATGACTGCAATCTTTATTTTCATTTTTTTTTCCTGTTATTTCGGAACAGAAAAAACAGGTTTTTTTTTTTAAACTTCTATTTTAAAGTTCTATTGATGCTGCCAAAACGTCGATCTGAAAAATTACTTTTATTTTTAGCTAATCAAACAAACGACACATTATAGAATCAAGCTATAATCAAGGAGTTATAATTTAAGATAAATTATAACTCCAATCTGTGCATAATCACTGCTTATTGCTCATTTAACGCAACATTTTTTTTTTAAGAACTTAAATAAATAAAAGTTATACTTTTACCATAAACCTATAACTAAAAATTAGAGATTGCAAAAAAGTTCCCTTAAAGAACTTTTATTTTAAGAACAATGTATCTTAAATAGTTTCACTGAAACTGTTAAAGTCCCGTAAAAGTTTCAACTCTGATATTTATATTTCAGTCTGATATTTATCGATCATAAAACATTTACGAATTAATACTTCATAACATTTTGAAAAAAAAAAAAAAAGGAAAAACAATAAATATTGTTTACTTAACACAACTTAAAAAAATTAGTATATTTAAAACTTTTTTATAAATATTCTAAAAAATAATAATGAATCAGACATAAGTTAGAAAAAATACAGATTTAGTGTTGAACACAAGTTAATATTTATTTCTTAAAGTAACATGTTAATACAAAAAAGATGTTTATGAATGAATATTAATTAATATTTTTCAATTGTTTTAAAATATATTTTTCTAATCGAATCCCCTACTCTATTTCATGTTGACAAGTTAAAATTTTCTCATAAGCATTATTAAATTTTCTTTTAATATTGACAAAAAAAAAGTAAATAAATATTTTTGTGTAACTTGGTAATAATGACGTTTTCTTTATACGTCCGAAATGGTCAATGTTTCTAGTTTTTATTGCAGAAACCACTTATCACGAATGGCCAATAGGGCTATATTTACATTAAATATTTAATTTTAAATATTTGAAAACAATTATGTTAAAGATTTAGTTGATTTCCTACATGGAGGTGGAATATGGAAATATAATGCCGTACCTACAAAGAGTTTTGAAACGAAAATAAATTATGGAGGGGTTGAAATTGCATTAATTTCAGGGTTTTTTTATATCTAAACTAAAGGATGAAAATAACTAAAGCTATACGGTTAATAAGGTTATAGGTACATACGTACATTATAATGGTAACGAAAACAACATGAATCTTATCAAAATAATTTAAATATCAAAATAGTACAAAGTATATAGAAAGGAAAAAAAAACAATAATTGTACTAACACATAATTAAATAAGCACAGTAATAAAAGAAAACAAATATGGAACAGTAAGTATGTAAACACTTTTGTATGTTACTGGATAAAAATCAAATATTTATCTTTGTTGAAACAAGAAAAGAATTAACAACTTGTGAAATAAATAACGTAAAATAGATAAAAGATTTGAATTGGCCTGCTTTGTAGACATGTGCTGTATTAAAATCTATTATCAGAAGGATTAGGAAATTTGCTTCTGTGAAACCTAATATTTTATAAAATATTTTTATAATTAGAAAATGATCCTTCCACATCAACAGGTGAGGTAGAGATAAATTTATATCCGCTTAAAATTAGAGGGATGATGTTAAATGTCGCTGGGAACAATTGAATCTTCGCCATTTAAAATTTTATTAATACCATCCAGAATTGTGAGACCTGAAGTTTTTATAGAAACCTCTTCTTTAAATATTTTTTTTTCATTCAAAGTTTCACTCATTTGGACTTGGAAGGTTGGAATACAGTCTACAAATGAGGTAGATTTTGTTCATTGAAAATAAACCTAATATTGTAATTTGGAATCGCATCTTCAATATTGCATTTTAATTTGTATAAATAAATATTTATTTGCATATATTTATTTTGTTCAGTTCATTAAACTAATCAAAATATGCAATAATATGCATTTATCCTCAAATATGTAAAATACAATTTGACTAATTGCATCACAGTGTACTAATTCGTATACATATTTGTTCAGCGGTTAAATAAAATAACGCAAACAAAATATGTGATTGAATAAAAATCCGGGCATTGCTTATAAGTTTCGATGGTATTCACAATTATGTTGGAATTCAATCAGAGAAAATAATAAATATTTATTTTGATTGAAAAGCAATGGATTATATTAAAAGGTGAACAGATGATATATATAATATTTTAGAATTTCAATAACAATTATTATAAGAAGTTTAACAGAATTTTCAGGCCTTCTATTTCTTATAACTCAACAAAATTACATAACATTTGTGTTTAAGTTAGAAGTCCATTGTCTAATTCCGTGAATTGCATGAATGTAAAATTATAAGCTTTTCCATATTTGAGGCGGTTTATCCGACTTCGGAGTTTAACAGACTACGGTTTAACCGATAGCCCGTTTTCCAGGAGGTTCCCGCGTTAGAATTATGTAATGCTCCATTCATATATACATAATATATATATATATATATATATATATATATTATAAATTCTTATGAATAATATAAATAAATGATAATAGTCGATTTATATTCTTCTTTACTAGAGAACATGGCTCAGAATTTATGGAAAACAATTGAGATACATTAGCCTGTAGTGATTTAGAGAAAAGAATCAAAATGCATATCTATATTGTGAATATTAACAACAATTTTACGAAATTAAATAAAACACATTGTTGAAATTGGTAAGGGCTTGCTCTACCTAAGGACATATACTTTCCCGTAATTTTTTTTAATATGTGCAAAATTACCAATACATTATAAAATTGATAAAATTATCTTCCACTATAAAGAAAACTCCGTAATTTCTAATATATATATATATATAATATATAAATATATATATAATAAATATATATATATAATATATATATATCAAAAGTTGATTTTGTCTTAACAAATGTTTTGAAAACTCTAGATGGAAGTGTTTAGCCAAATTTCACAACAACTAAATTATTATATCATACAGAAGACTGAATTTTCAATACTTAAACATATAAAAATCATATATTAACTACCAATTAAATTGATTTTTTCACGATATCTAATGCTTCAGTCTATGTCAAAAATAAGCTATCTAATATTAACTTGAGCTTATATTAAGTTAATCTAATAAATATATATATATAATATATATATATAATAATATATATATATATTATATATATATATATCTTAACTCCGTTGAATATCTTAGACTAATACGGAATGGTAAAATATACCAGACGGGTGAACATTATGCTGCCATAAAAAGATATTACTGCTTATTCTCCACTATAAACTACGCAATCAAAAATTCATAGTTCATAGCAATAGATCATTAAATCAACTGTACATATAAACGAGAAGGAGTTTGTCGGGGGGTGGGGTCAAATAAATTCTACATTTTTAAAAAATAGTATTTTTAATTGTTTCGCCGACGTTTCTACCCAGCTTGCTGGTCTTCATCAGGGCGTGGGATGTGGCACTGCAAGAAGCCTCGGAGAAACTATTAAAAATACAATTAAAAATTTAGTATTTATTTGACCTCACCCCCCGACCAACTCCTTCTCATATTATATTACGGTCAACCATCTCTACATCATTATGTACTTAAAAACATTGTCTAAAAAAATGTATCAAATTATATATTATATATATAATATATATATTTATATATATATATATATATATATATATAAAATTTATGTTTTTATTTAATAGTTTTCAGGCCATAGGTCACCAATAAAATATGTTTTATTGCATATCTTTATTTGCCATCGTTTTGGCTTCTTAAACCATTTTCAAGAATCTATAAAAAAAAAAATATTTTTTAAATCAGTTATTTTTCTATAAAATATTTCTATGTTTAAACATTCTGTTACATATGTTATCGTTATTTTATATTATTATTATATTTAAAAGTTAGTATATAACACAATATTTTTTTATTATTTTGGTTTAAAATTAACGTAAATTACCTACCTATCATGCAACATTTCATAAAAAAATGTTTAATATATCATTATTATATATTTCGTCCGGTGATCCATCCTTTATCTTAGGAAATTTCGTTGTGATTTTCAAAAGATATATAAATAATCAAATATAATGTTAAATTTTATTTCTAAGGCAGGAAAGTAGGAATATGTTAATTTTTATGTTGCTCTACTATCCGTTCTCCAAGACTGGATTTATTTATATATAATTAGAAGTAGAAACGGAGGGGTTAGAACTGAATTGTTATATCTATTTAATCGGAGTAATACATATATTCCGGTATTTTATATTTTAATTTCGCTGGCATAAAATGTGTTTAGGTTGTTTACATTCGTTTGTTAGTTAACTGATTGTTTCTAGATTGATTATTGACCAATACGGAACGCTAAACCAGACGGGTGAATATTATGCTGCCATAAAAGCATATATATATATATATATATATATATATATATATATATATATATATATATTTATATATATATATTTATATATTGCAGTTGCTTTTTTTTTAATTTTTACTTAAGACTTGGGTAAGATACTGATACTAAAAAAATTTCTTTGAAAAAGTTCAGAGTACTTTCATAAAAATTACGAAATTTATTTAAAATGCTAATATTTTACAAAATATATTAATATTTATCTTAAAGAAAAAAAAATTATCGTCAATAAAACTAATTGTTAGATTGGAACGCCGTTTAGCGGACTGGTGGTGCGTCCTATCGTCGATTTCGCCAAGTAACATTTCCCTTATAAGTCCGTATCTCGTGATAGTATTATTTTCTTTCTTTTTTTTTCTCCATAAAATATACTTCAAAAAAAAAAAAAAAATACTAAAAAATAACTACTTTATACGGATCGGAAGAAGACAATCGCGTAGTTATCAGACACAGCATTAGCGAATTTGAATCAAAATTCGATCGTGAA